TTGCTGGCATAATTTACTCTTTCAGTGAACTCTTCTTTGGGCTTTTTGCATAAAGTGAACTTGCATCGAGCCCTTTGAGGCACCGAAGCTCCGCTCTGACTGGTGCGACAAATGCGCCCCCCTGCTCGGCTGAAACACGCTGTTCTTTAGTTGACTTAGCTTCTAGTCTGCACACTTCTTTCTCTTCATCTCCCTTCATTTTCTGCCCCTTGCCTGTTGCCGTGGTAACTAGCAGAGGGAAGTTGAGTAGAGGGGAGATTGAAGGGAGAGAGGGAAGATAGGGGTGTGTGTGTGTGTTTGCTGGGTTTATGGGTAAAGGAACCACTGCTGCGCTTCCTCATCCCTCTTCTTCTTCTTCTTCTTCTTCTTTTTTTTTTTTATCTCCACTGCCACATCTTCCAATCTACAATCCTGTGTTCCTTATTGATCCCTCGAGCCACTTATTTTCTGTCCTTCCCCTCCTCTTCCTCAATATCCGCCTCAATATGAGCTTAAGAGAGCCTCAGCTCTCTCATGATCGCATTCATCCACAGTTAATGAATTTTGTGATGTTTTTCCACCATATTAACATCTCAACCTTTCTCCCTGTCTAACACAGCACACTCAAAAATGCCTTTCCACAAACATCATAACACAGAGATCTACATTTGTTCATCTGCTATGCCTCATTATTATCTGAAACTCAGCTCCAGCGCATAATGAGAAACAACTCCCACATCACCTCGATTTCTATCATTTTTCAGGAAAGTTTAATTGGAAAAGACGACATTAAAGATAGATTAAAGATTTCATTTCTAATACCACGGAGGCTGCACTGTGAATTGCATTTTAATTTCTCTGAAAGTTGAATAGTGTTGATTACCAGGGCAGCAGCAGCAGCAGCAGCATTGCGTGTGTTTGTGTCCATGTATGTCTGCATACATATGGAGAAACAGATGGAACAAGATTTCTCCAGTCACATGCCAGAGCTATAATTTTTTTCATGCTATTGTACATTACATCAATTTTTTTTTTACAATTAACTGCATGCCCGTAATGAGAGCTTTCAAAACATACAACCACCCCTTTAGTGCTAGAGCTCTATTGTCAGATAATGAGAAAGAGAAAAAAAAGATGGCGGGTCAGGGACTCGCAGTTGCTGGAGGAGAGGAGGCGTTTTGGAGTTGGTGTAATGTTTTTGCATAATCACCAATAAATTAGTCAAAAGGAACAACAAACAGTGTCTGCTGGGAACCGAGGGTGTGAGTGTGCTGAGAAACGTGTCTGTAATATCGTTCAAGCATATTTATAAATTACCCGGTGTATAAATATGCTCACTGGCTAGATACTCAGTGATAAAGCAACACAAAAATCATGTAAATGAAGCTGATTTCAACTTTTTTGAAAAAATCTTTGCTTCGTTTTAATTGTGCATGCTATTGTGAATCTGCACATTTCTCCACATGAGATAAGAAGGAAGTTTACTCTGTGGAATTTCATTTTTATTTTTTTTGTGAGAATCACTTGTGAATCAAGGCTTTACATAGAAAACTAAAGACACAATTTTAAGATTATTCCGGAGTATTCCTCATGGGGGCCGACGACTGCTGTTGTGGTGCAAGGGAGATAAATGGGGGCCCAAAGCTGCATGAAGAGTGAATAAAACCAAGAAAAGAAAAATAATGCTCTGAAAAGGAGAGGGAAAAAAACAGGTGGGGTTTGCTCTGTGCGGTACGATAATCTAAAGCTATTCGATGGCATTAACAAAAAGACCCCTAATGGAAGAATCCTCCCTTGGCCCAGCCACAGATTACAGAACTGGGTTTGCGTGTGGAAGCTATTATATAATTCATTCTCTACGATGAGATTTTCCTCCATTGCTGGTTTTCTTTACTAACCCCTCTCTATCTCTCGCACGCCGTCACACTACTGGCACATACCTCTTTTAATTTAAGTTGAAGATGTCTGAGCCACTGCGTTTTTGGTGACTTTATAATCTTTTATCCCTGTCTGGAACTCATTCATCTTCAACAGAAAGCTGATGTCTTCTGTTAGCGCTCACTCAACAGTTTCCCGTCCCCGCTTGGACGTTCCTCTGCTACAGTATATGAGTGTTTGTGTGCGCACAATTACTGCTATACACTCTCCACCATTGTATTGTGAATTCCCTGCTTACTAAGCTCCTTAATGGAATCGCTTATTATTTTTGGGGTTTTTTTGCATCTATTCTTTTCCCCCTTGCTCCGACATTCCTCTCTCCCTGCTGCTGATCACAGGTGAAAGGATTGGCAGTGAGTCTTTTATTTTTCATTTTGGAAGCCATCACTGGTGACCTGTCGTTTTGATAGGAGTTACATGTGAGCTGCATGCCGCTGGACTCAGGAAAGGATTAACTCTGCCCTTCAACTCCACATCTGCACCACGCAAGACTGGCGAAGCCACTGTGCGATTGGTAGATTACCGTTCACACAGCCAAATGCCATCTAATGATTATCTGGCAGGGTCTCAGGTGCAGCACCATGGGTCTCCCCCTGGATTCACAGTCCAGTCCCAACAGTGTCCAGATAAACAAATCCTCTAATTGATATGATAAATCTGAGAAAGCTTTGTACTTTACCTTTTACATATGGTAAATAACACTAACATGTAAAATTGGGAAGTGTATCATTCACTACTGCTGTCTAAACTACACCCAAAACACTCCAACTGTCTGTTGTGAAGCTCTTTTTCAAGAATGAGCTTCTCTTCATTCATCATACTGTAATGCCTGTTAGCACTAACTCCCTGGCTATTTTTATATGTCAAAATCTAATGACTCGCACATGCACAAAACCCATAAGTCCATGATAAATGTAATGAGGTCAGGTTTTGATGAGCCAGTGAATGGCGTGTCCTCTGGGTTCATGTGAAGCAGCGACAGCGATTCTTATTTATGACACTTTCATTTATCTAAACATTGGTGATTGGTGAGAGCACATCTTACACAGAATTCAAACCTCATATTTAAGGGATTGAACAGTAATGTAACAATCGATCAACACACTAACAATATTGCTGAGCCTGTCTGTGGTGCACAATCTTGTTTTAGACAAGTATAGTCGCAGAATACAGTACCAGACAGCCATCGGCTCATGGAGCGTGCAAAAAGCTTGCTATCTAAAGTGCTTGCTCGGTCTAAGATCTGAAAAATAAATGAAGGATGCCTAAAGTAAGAACAGAACAAAGAAAAAGATGTTGGAAAGAAAGAAAGTAGAGAGGAATATAAGAATCCAGTTTACCTAATATGTGTGTCTAACATAATGGAGGCACACAGACTCACAAAGTGTACGGATATGCCAAGTCATCACATGCAAGCAAATGCCCGGATAGACGCGAATAACGAGGCACACCTACACCGAGGCTGAGTTGATGTGAACCCATTTCAGGAGCAATAATCTCTGTCTCACCACACCACACACAGGAATAGCACCAAATCTGCAAACAAAGCTCACCTCCTTCTCACCTGTTGCTATGGAACTAAAAGGAGAGAGGGTGTATTGTTAACAAGAAAGCCAACAACACAGAGATGGTGCTTGGATATTACCAAGATTAATCACATTTCCAACTTAAGTGAGTCTAAACTGTGGTTGCTATGCTAGCTGGGCCTAAAGATGCAAAGAAAAGAGAGACTAAATTTAGATGTGGATATGTCATTGCTGCTTCCCCTCTTCACAAAACACACATACTCTGTTTGTAAGATACAGGTAGCAGGTTGACTTATGAGGACTGACGAGTAGCGTTAGCAATGCTCTGCACATAGATGTTTTTCTTCTGGAGTGTTTACTCTGGCTGATAAATGACATTTGGAGCACTCTTCTTCTCTGGTTCTTATCCGGAGGAACAGTGACTTAACAGTGACACAATGCCTCTCTCTCTCTCTCTCTCTCTCTCTCTCTCTCTCTCGTTTATACAGGTTTTCCCTTTTCTTTTCGGCTTTCGTCCTTAAAGCCCGTGCTTTGATTTCAGCGTCAAGTCACCTTGCTTAACTTTGTAGCCTTAATAAGGTCATTTCTATTGCCCTTTGGTCTTTATAGCTTTGTTTTCCTAATAATGAGTCAGCCATTGACAGTTCGGAACCCTTCAGTTCAATTCAGTCATATTTATATATCACCAATTCACACTAACAGTCCTCTTAAGGCAGTTTATACTTTTTAGGCAAAGGCCCTACAATATTGGAAGGTAACCCCAATAATCATACAACTCCTATGAGAAAGCACTTGGTGAGAGTGAGAAGGAAAAACTCCCTTTTAAGGGGAAGAAACCTCAGAGGAGGGGCAGCCATCTGCCACGACTGGTTCAGGTTGAGCGGAGGAAGATATGACAAAAGACACACTATGGGAGAAAGAGTTTTTTCCATAACTAACGATGAAATCACTGGTGTATAAACACAAGGGAGTGAAAAGAGTTGATTGAATTGTTCAATCACCAAGAGAAGCAGTATGGGAAGATTTATCATAAAGGAAGTCCAAATCCAAACTGGGAGCTGGTTCTATAGTAGAGAGCCCTGATAGCTAACCCTTAGTTAAGACCAGAAAATAAATGTAGCTACATTCTTCTTATCAGTTTGCTCATATCGGGGTGAAATGGTACAGCAAAATGTATCCATGCACCTAACATGCGAGTAAAGAGAAACATGATGGTACCAGTCAGTCACAATAGCTCTGTGAGCTGCCATCTGTTTTCTCTCTAATGTTACTTTGACTTCCTGCTAGCATTTTGTTCAAAGGACTGGACATAATTTCATTAAACAAATAACTTCTGGTGGAGGGAATGAGGTTACCATAACCCAGCTAGAGATGCTGATGTATTTTAGGGAGAGGACATCTCATCCCCTCATCACCTCTATCACCTTTCTGATAGGGACGTTTTCTTGTAGATGAACACAACTGGTGAGATGAAATGCACAGTATTGTTATTCAGTGCATTCTCCAAAAGATAATATTGTATTAACCCCATTTATCTCTGTATTGTTTGTCTTTTAGGATCTTGCTGACTGTCGTTGTCATCTTCCGTATTCTGATTGTGGCCATCGTCGGAGAGACGGTGTACGAGGATGAGCAGACCATGTTCATCTGTAATACTTTACAGCCGGGCTGCAACCAAGCTTGCTATGACAAAGCCTTCCCCATTTCCCACATCCGCTACTGGGTCTTCCAGATCATACTGGTGTGCACACCCAGCCTCTGCTTTATCACCTACTCTGTCCATCAGTCAGCCAAGCAGAGAGACCGGCGCTACTCTTTTCTCTATCCAATAATGGAGAGGGACTACGGCGGAAGGGATGGGGCTCGGAAGCTCCGCAACATAAATGGAATTCTAGTTCAGCACGGAGGGGATAGTGGAGGAGGGAAGGAAGAACCTGACTGTCTGGAGGTGAAGGAGATCCCCAATGCCCCACGGGGCCTCACGCACGGGAAGAGCTCCAAGGTTCGCCGTCAAGAAGGGATCTCCCGCTTTTACATCATTCAGGTGGTCTTCAGAAACGCCCTAGAGATTGGCTTCTTAGCGGGCCAGTACTTCCTTTATGGCTTCAGCGTGCCTGGGATTTTCGAGTGCGACCGCTACCCGTGTCTCAAGGAGGTGGAGTGCTACGTGTCCCGGCCCACAGAAAAAACGGTTTTCCTGGTCTTCATGTTTGCCGTGAGCGGCATTTGCGTGGTGCTCAATCTGGCTGAGCTCAATCATCTCGGCTGGCGCAAGATCAAGGCAGCCATCAGGGGCGTCCAGGCCCGTAGGAAGTCTATCTGTGAAATCAGGAAGAAGGACATGGCGCATCTGTCTCAGCCACCCAACCTGGGACGCACACAGTCCAGCGAATCGGCCTACGTCTGACGATGAAGACAGACAACAGAGGGGGAGCGGGATGAATTCTGATTTTAATTTAATGAAGATGGTGTGGAGGTCAAACAAGATGACCTCTCTTCTATGACAGAATGAAACAGAATGTAAAAAAAAGACCAAACCTCAGGCTCTGCGGCGCTGAAAGTCAGCAGAGGCTTGAGAAGGAAGAAAATTAGAGAGCATCAAAGAGGACAATAAATTTCGTTTTGCAAACATACATAATAAAGACATGCTGATCTCATAAGGAGATAGTCCAACTGCCATTTTTATACTTCTGTCTTTTTTAACTAACGACCTTCTCTGCTTCTCGTTTCTTATGCGGAGAATTAAATCCTCACGGGGCTGATCTAGAGATGAGAGTAAGAGGGGAAGAGGGAGGAAAACAGATGAGAGGCTGTTTTGTGTTCTCTGGGGATATTCGAAGGCGACATGGTTGTTTGATGCATCCCACGGTGCTTTTCTTCTGGACTGTGTCAGCCTCAGTGAAAAAAAAAAGGGGGGGGGGGGGGGGGGGGCAGGATAGGGGATGGGACAGGGAGGATGAGCAGCAGCAACATTATTAAAAAGAGGAACGGAAGAACTGTCAAAGCCGTGACAGACTCTGGGGAATGAAGGCAAGTTTGAGAGTGAGGGAGAACAGGAGGGAGACGTCACGCTTTGGGAAAACATATGAACCAAGGAAGAGAGAGGGGGGGAGGAGACAGAACGTTTTTCTTTTGCTTCCTCTCTTTGCCTGCCTGAGATTTTGAGGTAGACCGACGCCAAGAGAGAAAGCGCTGCCTCCCAACAGCGTGTCATGCCTCTGCTGGAACACCGTTACAAGCCAAAACCAAGAGAGCAAGACTGACGATGTTTATGTTTAGTCTCTTGGCAAAAGTTGATTTTAACAGAAACACAGTGAGTACAATAAACACTCCCCCCCTCTCTGCCCTATCCCTTACTCTTGCTCTGCTCCACTGTACAGACCTGTACAGACCCGAGGGGTTTTTCGAACGACAGCAGTGACCTTCGCTGCTCTCCTGCTGCGTAAACATCTGAGAGGAACTAATGAACAAACGGATGATCGGCCAGACAGCGTCAGTCTCTGCTAAAGCACAAACTCCACTCCCTCCAGCTTTTTCGTGTGCTAAGAGATGAAACAAAAAGAGAAGAGCGAAAGATAACGAAAGAGCTTGAGAAGAGATCGCTTTACTACAACTTTAAACAGATTTTATAAAACACATCACAATGAATAATGATTTTTCTTCTTTTGAGAAAGCGATGGTGCCATCCTTGAGATATTTAATTATTGCTGAAACGTTACATAGAGTATATCATGGTAATATTATTTATCCATTTAGAGTATATCCAAATAGATTTATTTATCTTTATGGGGCGGGTTGATTGGGAAATCTTGTTGCTGTACTTTTTATGTATAAACTGTCTGTCTTTTCTTTTCATTTTAGTTGAGTTTGAAGCATTTGTCACTGTAGGTCCTGATTAATGACATGCACGGTGTAGGAAGGGGAGAGATTTGTGAGCTTTGATATAAAAAATGCTTTGAGGATGTGCAGCTGATTTTTTCAAACTTCTTTTGCAGCTCTTTAGAGTAACACTTCTTGTTACTTATCTGAATTTAAAATGCAGTTACACCTTTATGTGTTTTATAGAGCCTTGATTTTCTTCAAAAATCAGCTGCGCAGCTTCAGGTAATTAAGGCCTATGAGCCATTAGACAAAGGCATGTTTACACAATGCGGTGTTTCTTGAATGATCAAGCTGTGTAACTGATCGTAGTTGCTCTCTAGGGACAGTTGTAGGTTGTTTGTTTTTTTAATTTCAGTGGCTTTCGTTTTGCATTTCTTTCCTGACTGGATTTCAGCATGCATGCATGGTGAGAGAAAAGAGAACGATGTGCAAGAAACAGAAAAAGATAAAGATGACAGAGAGTGTTGCACCTTGATTATTGCAGACGAGTGAAAGAGTGGCAGACTGAAGGAAGTCACGCTGGGAAAAAGATTGTATTTCTGGACACATACAGACATGCACGAGTTTATGATGCAAAAGATGGAGGGAACACACTGTGTGCCTACTGAACCAGATATAGAGACAGTTGGGTATACTTTCGTTCCACCAGCATGATTTCCTCCTGTAACTCTGCGGGGAGGAGGCCCAGGTGACTGAGACAAGGGCACAAGCACATAGCAGTTCATGCCAAACTCACAATTTGTCTGTTTAAGTCTTTTTGCAGAGGCCATAATCAGTTTACAGGTAATTGTTACAGACCAACACTCTGTGCTTTTGCCATTTAGGAGTATCAAGTGAGCATTTGCAAACTGATCACCCCTACGGAGCTCTACAGTGCAGTGGCTTCTCTTTGAGACATTTGGGCTTTGGTTCTAAAAGGGGCCATTCTTGCACTAATGCAACTTTCTCACTTTGCTTATATGATCCTTTAAATACATACCAAATGGCAGATAAGCTGTAAGAAACACACAGCTACATGCATTCATCCCCATCCAGAAAATGAGAGAAGAGAAGATGGCAGAATAACTAACAGCCAAAAAAGCTTTGTTTTTAATGGGGTAAAGTCTGTTTTTATGTCCTGGTGACAACTGGAATTAGAGGTGATTGACATAAACCCTCAAATAAGGCATTAAAAGATGGCTGCGAAGTGGAGACATGCTTCATATGACATACATATGACCCAGGGGCCAGAACTGGCAAAGACTCAAATCTGGCCCCACTGCACAGCTTTGGAAATCCTTAAGGAAGGCATATATTTTGGACTTTTAACAGCATTTTATTAGTTTTATAGCTTTACCTTCATGGGCCCTTTATGCTACAAGAAAGTATTTCAGTAATGCATAAATAATTTAATTAATAATGGATTGGATTTATATAATGCTTTTCAAGGCACCCAAAGCGCTTTACAATGCTACTATTCATTCACTCTCACATTCACAGACTGACAGAAGCGAGGCTGCCATATCGCGCCATCGGCCCCTCTGGCCAACACCAGTAGGCGGTAGGGTAAAGTGTCTTGCCCAAGGACACAACGACCAGGACAGAGAGCCCGGGGATCGAACCGGCGACCTTCCGGTTACAGATACGCTTCCCAACCCCCTGAGCCACGGTCGCCCCCCTAATTACAGAAAAGTTCCTGTATAGACAAGAAACAAGAAACTTGTGACTTGAATAAACTTTCAGAATTGTAATTATGAGAGAGTTAATGAGCTACAGTGTATTTTGTGTATTTTCTACACAGTCAGCCTTTAACTTATATTTTATGTTAAGTCATAAAAACCATGCAGAGTACATATAAATGATCACTGATCATTTTAAAAAGAAAAATCAGTGCCACAAAATGATATTGAAGCTATAGTGGAAATACTCTGGATATGACATGATGCTAAGTAATGGCCCTAGATCTGCAGTTGGCCTTTGAGCTTAAGCAGCAGCTCTATTTTTACATTCACTCTTACTTTTATAATCTCTGTGATTCTTACAGGTGATTATCCCCAGATTTAGTCTCTTCTGAGGATGCCGATGGGACTCGGTGAAATCAGCGAAGTTTACTACGTGGACTAGGAGGGACAAATGTGCTGACAGGCCATGCCAGAATGCCTAAGGGTTGAGCAACCTCTTGGCCTTCACTTACTGTGAGCGTGTACTTCTAGTGAAAGCTTAAATGCTGACCTTGAGCTTAAAAGCCAAGCCAATGTCCTGTACTATATGCAGCTCTGGCTGAAGAGTCACTGCACAGTACAGCGCTGATCTAATCCCTGCAGAGCACAGGTCAGTGCTGGTGTGAGGACTATTTTTACTGAATGGTGTGCACGCATGTTCAACATACACTCATTCCGCTACAAAAACAAGCGAATGCAAAAGTAGGAAGAGGAGTTTGAGCTCAGTTTAGAGCTCCTGGATTCTGTCGTTATGTCTGGTTTCATTCAGGTCAGAAACACAAACATGCACGCAGTGTGAGGATGTGGAAGGCCATAAACGTGTCCTGGTTTTCTTCGGTTTACATTTATCCAGAGTTCATTAGCGACTTGCAGCCAGTCAGTGGGTCCATCACGTTCCAAAAGTAAAAGCAGGCCTCAGTTTTTCCAGCAGTCCACTACTCTCCACCGTCTGCTTTTCTATTTGTCAATGTGAAATGAATTATGCAATTTATTTTTTTTTGTTTTTTATTTGCTTCTCTTTTTGACGTGTGGGTTCATTTTGTTGTCTGTTGCTCTTTTCGTGCAGTGACATATCAAAAAAAAAAAGAAAGATGTTTTTTCTATGTAACGGAACAAAAAAAACCTATATGTGTAAAATCAAGGGTAGAGTTCTGAAATATAAGACTAGCAGAAAATATGTTATATTTCCTCCCTTGCCAAAGTGATATGCAAAATTTAATTAATTTTCAAAGATTTTGTTTATTTTAAATGCATGTGTAATTGCTAGAGTAAGCATGTTTCTATGTTTTCTTCAACAGAATCTTAAAAGAAAGGCTTTTTAAAGTCCAAAATATGGAATGAAGCTATTTTGTCTCGATGCCAAGTGTGTATATAATTTACCCAGTTTCCAGACACTACAGAAACAGGCAGAGTATACCAACTCAGTGATGTTAAAACTACCTATTACATTTTAGCCATTTGAATTTCCAAAAGGCTAAACCACTGCATACGGTAAATCTTCTAGTTCAAGAAATTTGCACACCGATATATACCTTTATAATTAGTTGAGCTTTGTAAGCCAGTCGCTCAAATGTTGTACTGTAAAAACCACAGGGTACACAGGAATATGAACGTACAGGTAAAAGACTGGCACCATTTAGATGTCAGAACATTCCAGGGTTTAGCCTCCAGCACAAAGTGTAACTGACCTACAGTTTCCAGTGTTTTAGAGTTCGATGATTGAATCCTCAGTGAAGCTCCCTACGGACAACCTATTCAGGAAAGAAAACTGGTGATCTTTTACACTAGTCTCTTTTTTAGTACAAATACACAAAAGATTGCTTTTATAAAAACAGTATGCGTGTCAGCATACCTTCCATTTTCGATCGAACCTTGTACTGTAAAGCCCAACAATGAAAATTGTCCTCAAGCCTGATTGTTTACCTGTTGGTGCTACCGAGGTTGGATTTCAGATACATTGCCACATTCCCTAATGTCCAGCACACTACTGCCCACAAATGTACCACAGATCAGTGCAGGTCTCCTTAAAAAAAATCAAGCCGTTTCTCTTGACTGTTACTAACAGATGGCCACGTGTGCAAAAGCATACAGCCTGATGACATCATTTCCCTAACTCGCCACTTACTTAACAATGCAGAAAAGTAGCAAACAAATTGATTCCTCAGGAAACGCAGCCTGTAAATGAGCTGTTTCATTCATTCACACAGAGCTCATTGAACTTCTACATAACTCTTTATTCTGCTGCCAGAAAGACCTTAAATTAACTTAATCACATTATGTA